AAAGAAAAGAGAAAAAGAAGAAAAGAAAAAAATACTGGACTACGGATAAATATTTTTTCACCTTATTTTAGTGTGTGATGTTACATTGTCTAGTGTAAGAATCTTAAAGTACACATCCTTTAATCAATATTTTCTGTGTACTACATATGTGTATAAATTTTATGCTACTTAACCTATTGCAATATATATTTGTAAATTACAGATTATAAAATAAATTTAGGTTCACTCATCAGGTTTTATAATCCAACACCCTGCTCAAGGCAATGTCAACCACTAATTTAGAACAGGAGGCTGTCCAGTCAGGTCTCAGAAACGTCCAAAGACAGAAATTCCACAACTTCTTTGGGCAACATGTTCCTGCATTTAGTTATCATAACAATGATGTTATTCATTTTTTTTCTTTGGGTCATGCTGGAACCTCCCTTGTTTCAAAGTATAAAGAACAGTTCACCTTTGGAAGAGCCCAAGTCCGTCCTTTATGATCAGCTTCTCTTATTAGAAAGTGCCCAGTGGGAAAATTTGTTCTTGCCTGATGCTAGAAAAGCCCAGTTCCCCCAGCCTCCTTTCACTAGTCTTGTGATCCAGAGTCCAAGTCTGGTGACACTTGCTTAAGTTTATTCAAGTATTGAAGGCTCCAGAACTGTTCACAGTATTCGAATGTGGTATAATAAATGCTAGTATGGGAATAATCACTTTCCTTGATTAATGGACTACACTCCCACAAATTTAAATGCAGTACACTAGCTCAGTCAAGAAGACAAGCGTAAAGAAAACAAAGAACTTCAGTGAACTAAAGCAATTTTGGAGATTGATTTCTCTAACTGCTGATAACAGGTACTCTTCCCATTCACCCAGTTTTATCAGTGTTTATTCTAACATTTCAGATACAGTCTCTTAATGCCTAAAATCTTCAGGTGTTTGAAATACTTGGAAAAAATAGACTTAAAATTAGCTTTACAACCTGATTTCCAGTTTTCTCTTTGTTGCTACCCACTGAAAAGTTACAATTACTCTCCCAAAATTATTGGCTTATAAAAATAACATTCAAGAGTCAGCAATCTTAGCAGTCCACAAGACAGGGAAGATTTGTGTTAAATTTAATTCCACTTTAGGAACATTCCATGATATTAGCAATTAAAATTAGTATGCCCAATGAGCAGACAGACCTACTTCAGAATTGCAAATGACTTCAGAAGACTACAATTTATTACATTTGGTATTTCTACAGTGTTTGAAATAATGGTGTAGAATCCCAGAAGATAAGGGAGCTAATGTGTATGTCTCAGACACCTAGAGCCAAATAGCCATGGAGCCAACCAAGGATTGCTGGTAACAAGAGCATGTAGCTGGAGAAGGGGGCCATATGAAGGTAGGCCAGCACTTTTCT